TTTTTTTTTTTTTTTATGTATTGGAAATAGCAAACCTATATCTCTAAGCCCCCAAGAAATGAAGAATCTACTACTATATGCTTATATGCTACTACTATATGCTTATATTGTGTTATTCTCTTAACAGTGCTGTTAGAGACAACTGTCCTTTTCCTAAGTAAAACTATCAATGTCTGAAAAGGATTTTGAAGCTAGAGAGAGATGTTTAAGGGAATACTATTGCTTTTCTATACAGTGGTCTTTTGCACATGTACTCATCAGTATACAAAGAACTAATTTCTAACTATGGAGGTATTGATAAATTCCCTACTTTATTATCTGCTTTTGCTTCTCACATTGATACGTGTAAAAGCCATGGTATATTTACTAAAGTTGCATTTCAATAAAGTCTTATTTCAGGGATTTTATAGTTCCAGAATGTATAAAGTTAGGCAATTGTTTTGACATGAATTTAATGGGGATACCAGCTGCCATAAATGATCAGTAACATATTGGGCAACATATTGTTCCTTTTTTTTCAGTTTTGTTAGTAAATAGGTCTTTGACAGTGTTAGCCCCAAGAACTAGCAGAACAAGATTCTCAATCATAAAAGTCTAGTATAGTAATGTTTTATCTGATACCTAAGTGGATTAGCTAATCTGTTGTAAGAAGTGAAAACCAATCAAAAACAAACCAACCGTTCTAAATTATTGCAAGAGCTATAAGAAATACAATATTAATAAAGGAATCAAAATAATTTTTTACCTGTGGACTTCTAGGACTTGGGTAAATCACTCATCTTAAAGCTGTGATTTTTTTTCTAACAGAATTTTCAGTTTGATCAATGTTAGCACCATTGGATACAAGAATGTAAAAATTTAGGCACAAAATAAGGCAGCCATTGAGGGGTGTCTAGTCCTTTGTGCTAATCCACTAAATGTGAATGTGAGCACCCTTAGACATGCCAGAAACAGGATGTTGATATATGAGTCCATGAAAATACCTTTACTGTCAAATCTTTTAAACAGGCTTTGTAATGGTAAGATGTTCTTAGCCATTCAGAGAAATATGGAATTCAGCTGGATGTAAATATAACCTAGAAGAGAAAAAGTGAAAATTGAACATTTAAAATATTTTAAGAGGTCTGGGAAGGTGGCTCAGTGGTAGAGTGCTTGCCTTGCATGCATGAGGCCCTGGGTTTGATTCCTTAGTACCACATAAGCAGAAAAGCCGTAAGTGGCATTGTGGCTCAAATGGTAGAGTGCTAGCCTTGAGCTGGAGAGCTGAGGAACAATGAATGTCCAGGCTCAGAGTTCAAGCCTCACGACCGATCCCCCACCCCACCCCCCGAGCAAAAAAAAATTTTGTTTTTTTAAAGAATGTACTAAATTTTATAACCAAAAGGATTTCCACAAGATTTTGATCAGGGGATTTATTTATGTTCCCTTTTGAATGGAAAAAGGAGTAACTATTATAAAAGGGACCCAAAAGAACATACTTAGTATTATTGTCCAAGAATGAGTGAGCCAGAAGTAGCAATCCACAAAACTTGCCCCTGCATACCTCCATAGTAGTATAAAATCAGTTGTTTTTTTTTTTATATTAAACTTGGAACATGGGGCTGGGAAGGTGGCTCAGTGGTAGCTTGCATGCAAGAGGCCCTGGGTTCGATTCCTCAGCACCACATAAGCAAAAAGAAAAAAGCTGGAAGTGGCACTGTGGCTCAAGTGGTAGAGCGCTAGTCTTGAGCTGAAGAGCTGAGAGACAGTGCCCAGGCCCAGAGTTCAGGCCCCACAACCGCATCCCCACCCCCCCAAAAAAAAGCTGGAAGTGGAGCTGGAGTACAAAAAAGCCCAGAGCCGGGAGCTGGTGGCTCACGCCTGTAATCCTAGCTACTCAGGAGGCTGAGATCTGAGGATCGCGGTTCAAAGCCAGCCCGGGCAAAAGAGACCGTGAGACTCCTATCTCCAATAAACCACCAGAAAACCAGAAGTGGTGCTCTAGCTCAAGTGGTAGAGCGCTCGCCTTGAGCTGAAGAGCTGAGGGACAACGCCCAGGCCCAGAGTTCAAGCCCCACAACCGACAAAAAAAGCCCAGGGACAGAACCCAGACCCTGCATTCAAGCCCTAAGACTAGCATCCAAAGAAAAAGAGCATTGTATATTTTATTTCTATATTATAAAAACCTATCACAACCTATTACAAAATTATAATCATTCCTAATTTGTGTTTATGAAATAATTTGCTCATTTTTAACTTCTCCCTGATTTTCCCTACAGATATTTGAAGGATCTTTACCTTGGAAGCTTCATGGTAGAAGGTGTAGCTCTCAAATTCTTCAAAGAAGCTGGGTGCCAGTGGCTCACGCCTGTAATCCTAGCTACCTGAGGCTGAGATCTGAGGATCACGGTTTGAGGCCAGCCGGGGCAGGAAACTCAGTGAGACTCTTATCTCCAATAAACTAAAAAAAGCCAGAAGAGGCACTATGACTCAGATGGTAGAGTGCTCTGGACAGTGCCCAGGTCCAGAGTTCAAGCCCCAGGACCCGCCCAAAAAAAAAATCATTCAAAGAATTTTCAAAATACTTCTGATACCTGATTTATCATTAATTATATTCTGTCCTTAGCAAAAACAAAAGAACAACAAAAACCACTAAGGATACAGAATAGGCAAGCAATGGATTCAGAGAAATGAATGAGAATTGTGTATCTGCCCATATACATAATTAGAATATATAAAGCTCTTCTATAAATCCATTAGATAAAAACAACCCAAGTGAAAATCACAAAATAAATATATTTGGAATAAATAGTAAAAGATATTTCAAACATTTGGTTTTTGTTTTTGCATTAATTAAAGGTTCCAGGATCAACATATGGATAAGCAAGGAATTCCCCCAGTTTGTTGCCAGCTGAATCATAGTGGAGCATTCGGAAGCAAACATCACAAAAGAAACATGGGTCCTCTGGTGCAAAACTGTCATTGTTCGTCACCCACCTGTAATTTTTTTAAAAAAAGAGGTGTGCATCATTTTTTAATGCTACAGCATGATGTAATATGTAAATAAGACATTTCCACTATTACCAGCTTACGCAAGTACTAAGTCAAGGAGGCACCTAACAATGAGATACTGTTTCCCTAAGATTTCCTTTAAGGATAAGTAGAGGAAACTACAGATGTAGAGGAAAAGATCATACGTGTGCTGCAGCATAGCTGTCCTGCTGACATGGTCACTTTCTTTCAATAGGCCACTTGAAAACCATGTTTCCTAGATGTTTAACCTAATATACTTTTTCTTAATTTAACTTTATTATATGCCCTTGTTTTGTTTGGGGGGGACAAGGTCTTGCTAAGTAGCCAAAGTTAGCCTTGAAATCAAGATCATCTTGCTGACATTTCCCAAGTGCTGAGAATGTATGTCACCATGCCCAGCTAGTATTTTTCTGTTTTTAATTGATGCATGTTTGTAACTGATAAAGCATTCTTACCATTTCTGAGCTCTGAGAGCCTTCTAGTTCTCCTAGTTAATTTGAAATGTATCAAATTATTGTAGACACTCCTTATTGTGGAGTAAAAAAAAATTCACAAATCTGCATGGCACTCTTGTTCAGGGGCTATGGTAACCTGCATCGTTCCAAGTTTATATACATGCTACCAAGGCAAGCACTAATTTCTTTTGTTGTTGTTGGCTATGGGGCTTGAACTCTGGGCTTGGGCGCTGTCCCTGTGCTCTTCAGCTCAAAGCGAGCACTCTACCCCTGGAGCCACAGCACCACTTCGGGTTTTCTGGAGGTTTTATTGGAGGTAAGAGTCTCATGGACTTTCCTGTCTGGGCTGGCTTTGAACCTCGATCCTCAGATCTCAGCCTCCTGAGTAGCAAGGATTACAGGCGTGAGCCACTGGCACACAGCTAAGCACTAAATTATTTTAAAACTGGTGAAATATAGTAATGGCTAATTTGGAAACAATTTAGTATTCTAGAATGTTTGCCTTTTAATATCCTTTCATTTAATTTCAACTACTTTATGTTTTTCTTTGGGGGGGGAGCAATAACTGAGATTTGAACTCAAGCATGTGCTCTACTGCTTTGTTCACCAGCCCCTTTTTATGTTAGTTATTTTGTACAGAGGGTCTCACTTTGTGCTTAGGCAAGCCTGAACTGCAGTCATCCTACTTATTTTCCCTTATCATTGGGATAACAGGTGCATGCCATCTCTGTCAGTCATTGATTGAGCTAGAATCTCAAACTTTTAATTCCTTGGCTGGCCATGAACTGTGATCTTCCCAGATCTCTGCCTGTCAATTAGTTAGGATGGTGATTGCTGTTTCTTATGGCTCTTCTTAACCCAAGGCCAGATGAAGACACTAACTTATTTTCTATTGCTGTAAATAATTTTAAAACTTTCACCCATTTGCAGTAATAATGTAAACATACAGACTCATATAAACACTACACTTTGGGCAGTATTGAGACTAGAACCCAGAGATTGTGCATGTTAGGCAACTATTCTATCACAGAAATACACATCCATCCCCCATCCACCGCCCCCAACCCCCACCTTAAAAAAATTCTGAGGCAGAGTCTTATGTTACCTAAGACTAGCCTTGAACTCATACTTTGCTTGCCTCAGGCTCAAATTACCTAGGAGTTAGAACTGTGTGTCACTACACCATACCATAAAACTTTTGTAATTATTTTGACCTCATTGTATGGAATGTGCTCCATTTTTTCACTAAGGAAAAGCTGTATGGTGGGTGGAGCTGGTTTTGTAAACTCTGGGCAAGAGGCCACCTAGATATTTCAACCCTGAAGTTATATATATAACCTAAGATATGGCTCTATCCATCTATCAATCATCTATCTCCTCACTTAAAGATGCTCCTGGGAGCCAGGCACCAGTGCTTCATACAATCCTAGCTACTTAAGAGACTGAGCCAACCCTGGCAGGAAAGTCTATGATCTCCAATTAACCACCAAAAGCTCGAAGTGGAGCTGTGGCTCAAATAGAGTGCCAGCCTTATGCAAAACAGCTCAGGGACAGTGCCTAGGGACTGAGTTTGTTCCAGCCCCAGGACTAGAAGCTCAATTCAGTGGTAGGATACAGGTGGATTAGCATGTGGGAGACCCTGGGTTCAATCCTTAGTTTAAACAAAATGCTCTATTTTAACCTACTAAACTGACTAGTGCTTTCCCTGTTAGATAAGGGTCCTTACAATCTCAAGACAAGATTGCTTAAATACAAAATGGAAAACAAGTGCTCAAAGTACTTAATTTTTAGAGACAAAAAAAATAGGTACCACTCACCTAGCTGTGTACATTTTACACACAAAACATTTTCTGGTCCATAGCCAGTGCTTTTTAGTAAGAAGTGGATAAAGTTTTCTATCCAAGCAGTCGTCATGATGCACAAGCCTATCATTTGTGAGAAAATGGAAAGTATTTTGGTAAAAACTTATGATATATAAAACATTATGTGTACTTCAATTATTAGGAACATAAGATTCTATTTTCAAATTTTAGTTACAAAAGATTTAGCTAAACTGACTTGTTATACCAAGTTTGACTCACCTGTTACATGAAATCCTTTCTTCCAGCAATATTTTAGATTATACAAGGTGTTTTTTTGTTTTTGTTTTTTGCCAGTCCTGGGGCTTGAACTCAGGGCCTGGGCACTGTCCCTGAGTTTCTTTTGCTCAAGCCTAGCATTCTAACACTTGAGCCACAGAGTCACATCCAGCTTTTTCTGTGTATGTGGTGCTGAGGAATCGAACCCAGGACTTTATGCATGCTAGGTAAGCACTCTATCACTAAGCCACATTTCTTTTTTTTTATTGTAAAGATACTATACAGATGGTTACAGTTACATAAGTGAGGTAATGAGTACACTTCCTCTTGAACATTGTTACCCCCTCCATTGTTTTTCCCCTACCATCCCCTTCCCTCCCTACCTTCCCCAAGGTTCTTTTTCTTTTTTTTTTTTGATTGTGATTAAGTGATTACATAATTTCCGGAATTTCACAGTATTGTGGAATAATGATGCTCATTTAAAGTCACAAGTTCATTCTAACTTTCCTGGAGCAAATTGTCTATCACAGTCTATAACATATGTATGGTGTATAACATGTGATCACCAGCATGGGGATATTTAGTAGTGGTTCGACCAGATGAGTGGGAGTTCTTTGTTTCTTAAGTCCTGTTAGTTTTGTCGTATCACCTAACATTTTGGATTTAGCATCCACTTATCAGGGTGACCATGTACTGTTTGTCTCTTCGCTCTTGGCTTACCTCGCTCAACATGATTCCTTCTAGCTCCATCCATTACCCTGCAAATGCCATTATTTTGTCATTTCTAATGGCTGCATAATATTCCATTGTGTATAGATACCACAATTTTTGGATCCATTCATCTGTGGTGGGGCATCTGGGTTGTTTCCATATCCTAGCTATTGTGAACAGTACTAAGCCACATTTCTAACCGCAAGGTATTCTTTCATGTGAGTTTGTAGATCTCTCATGCTAAAATATTATTACCCTCTAAAAAGGAGCTACTGTATATAGCATTTTTTTTCTTTTCTTTTTTTTTTTTTTGTGGGTTGTGAGGCTTGAACTCTGGGCTTGGGCGCTGTCCCTGTGCTCTTCAGCTCAAGGTGAGCGCTCTATCACTTGAGCCACAGCGCCACTTCTGGTTTTCTAGTGGTTTATTGGAGAAAAGAGTCTCATGGATGCTCCTGCCCCAGCTGGCTTTGAACTGAGATCCTCAGATCTCAGCCTCCTGAATAGCTAGGATTACAGGCATGAGCCAGCGGCGCCCCGCATACAGCATTTCTTAAATGTATGACATCAGAGAATCCTTGTTTTAACACTCAGAACCTTTACTTAAGGAACTTAGTTGGAGCCAGAATACTCAATGATGTTTTTCCTAGCTTGAATGGTTATCAATTTGGCTCTTTTTTTTATTTTTTTCCACTATTACTATTATTAAAATAGTCTAAGTCATTAAAAATCCAAGTCAGGCTGGGAAGGTGGCTCAATGGTTGAGTGCATGCATGAGGCCCTGGGTTCGATTCCTCAGCACCACATAAGCAGAAAAAGCTTGAAGTTGGGGGGAGGATGGGATGGGAAAGGGAAACAAAGGAGGAGGCTACAATGCTTGATAAGAAATGTACTCATGGGCTAGGAAGGTGGCTCAGTGGTAGAGTGCTTACCTTACATGCCTGAGGCCCTGGGTTTGATTCCTCAGCACCACATAAGCAAAAAGAAAAAATCCGGAAGTGGCGCTGTGGCTCAAGTGGTAGAGTGCTAGCCTTGAGC